CACAATAGAAGGGTCCTTCGAGAGACCAGGCAAGGTGGACAGCTGTTTAATTTACAAGACAAATGCTAGGACAGACAGGATGCTACAGAGAATGTCTTTGGGGGATGGACAGCCTTTGTGGATGGACATTATCATCATCTTCCCTCTCTATATTATCATGCAGGTGAGTAGAGGTTCAGAGAGAGGAGAATGGTCAAGGGTGGAGAACACAAGTACAGAGTTGGGCACCCTGTTGTGACCTACCCCCCAGTCCTACAGGACCACCAAAGATGGGCCTTGCATCTCTGCCATGGTGTTGGCATTCAGGTGATGGCACACAGGCACCAGACCTCTTTGTGAGGCCCTGGTGTGTCTATCCCACATAAGCTCCAACAGGGCACGGTTTTCCTGGAGGCCCTATGCTGTGTTTGCCTGCTGAGTGGAGTTGTATTTGGCACTCGGGGTGCCTGGTATGGCACTGGAGGCTGTTTTTACAAGCAGTTGAATACATGAAAATAAATAAGATCTCCTCAGTGTAGGGATGTGGAGGTGTCTTAGCTTTGCAGTGGCTGGTGCTTTAGTAAATGCAGTAGATAGAGACAGGCCCGGATCACCTTCTGGTGCACTCCTCTGTTTGGTCAGCTCAAGAGCTCTGCATGCTCCAGAGATATATGTGACAAGGTGCATTCAGGTGCCCTAAACATACAGGTCTGGTGTCATTTAGGATGGCCAAGGAAATCCCCCTTCCGCCCCGGACCTCAGCTGATGCTCAGGAAGGATGTGGGTATTCTCAGAGATTTTTCATCAGATCTTGCAAACATTTGGACCATCCTGGCCCCTCAGTCATCACCCTGTCTGTGGGTGAGCAACTGAGTGCCCACAGAATAAAGACCAGGGGCTCAGAGCAGGAGCTCCCCTGCAGACAACACTTTTGTGCACCCCAGAACTGAAGCAAGAGGAAACCCAGCTCCTGTGGGTGTCTGGGGTGCATGGAAGGAAACTGAATCCTGCATCTTCCAGCTGGGGATGAGATGCCTGCTTTGCCTCAGCTGAACCACTGCCCAGCACAGGGGAAGCCAACCATTCCCTGTCCCTGTCTATCTGTCCTTTTGTTATGGGACAGGAATGGTGATGTCCAGAGGGGAACATTTACACCTTTCACAGACAACCACACTCTGGTAGGACAATTTCTGCTGCAGGAATCAGTCCCTCTCCACTGCTTAGAGAGGGACCATTACTGATTGCTTTTGATGGCTCCAAAGTACATTCCCCAGGGATGACCCTTCTTCCTTTCAGGTTCTGTCAGCCCTGGAGCCCAAGGGACACCTGGGGAGAGGCCAGAGGGGGGCAGAGAAAGCAATGCCTTGGGCTGGTCCTCTGCTGCTGAGCTGGGCTGGGCTCCTGGGATGGGGGGAGCTCATAGCAAGCGGGCAGCGCTGCAGAGAGACAGCTCTGCTCAGGAGCAGCTCCCCTGCAAAGCGCAGCAGGGCTGAGGGCACTGCCTGCAGGCACCAAGGGCAGAGGAGAGAAACAAGAGAGAGGTTAAAGGCAGTGAGGAGTGGGAGGACACTGAGAGCTCACTGGAGGAGAAATCTTCACAGCCCTTAACACAGTAAGTCTCTGGCTGCAAGGCAAAGTACTTGAGTATTTAGGAGGATACTCCTAGAGCTGGCACATCCCCACATCTCTGTCAGGATCTGGCAGGATGGGGATCAGGGTTTCTTTTGTGTGGAGAAGGACGTGCTGCGGAGCAGGACTCCCCTGCTGCACCCTCAGAGGGACATGTCCCTTCTTCCAGGGGCAGCTGCAGGGCAGAGAGGCAAGGTGTATGCCCAGGGCTGTCCTTCAGAGCAGGGTCCCTGCACCCCAGGAAGGGGTGTGCTGGGACAGGGACTCTGCCGCTTGCCAGGCTCAGCACTCAGCCTGCCTGGGGAACTCCCCACTGCACTGTGGGGAGAAGCTGTGGGTGGAAGGAGCGACTCCCCGCAGGGCAGGGTCATTCTGCTGTTGAGAGGGTGCTGCATGGGTCAGGGCTGCTCACAGCTCCACATCACCCCCAGGACATTTCTGAGGGTCCTTTTGAAGAAGGACACCAAGGCAGCATTGACTTGAAAGGGCAGGTGTCTGTGCTTTGAGTTTTCTCCTCTTGGTTGTCTGGGTGGGTAGTGGGAGGTAGGAACTTACTTCATAGAATCACAGAATCATAGAATGCTTTGGGTCAGAAGGGACCTTTAGAGGTCATCTAGCCCAACCCCCCTGCAGTGAGCAGGGACAGCTTTAACCAGATCGGGTTGCTCAGAGGCCCATCCAACCTGACCTTGAATTTTTCTAGGGATGGGGCCTCCACTACCTCTCTGGGCAACCCCCTCCAGTGCTTCACCACCTTCATTGTAAAAATTTTCTTTCTTACTTACTTCTGTTCTGGAGAGGGCAGGGAGACCCCAGCTCTTGTTAGGACTTGTCTGAGCTGCTACTTAGCCCCTGCACACACAGAGATGTCCCTGGGCAGTGCCCTGCTGCCAGGAGGTGTCTTCAGGGCAGAGCTGAGCACACAGAGGGTGGGATGGGGTCTGTGAATGATGACAGGGCACAGATGTGAGGACAGGGAAACAGATCCCAGCAGGGACAGGTCCAGGCAGCAGAGACATGGACAGGGAAGGAGAGGCAACTACTAGCAGAAACACCATAGGAGCTGCGTGATTCAAGCATGTACCTGCCATCCCCTGCACTGCAGATGCCTTCCCCAGAGCTACCCGCTGGTATCCCCTCCCACTCAGCAGAGCCTATGCCCCCAAGGCCATGAGGTCCAGGGCATGAGACACTTCCTCGGCAGCTGGACCTCCAGAGGAGGAGAGGCGCATGCATCCTCCAGTGTGGTACACAACAACGTGGCTAAAACACCTGCCCTGGAATGTCACTGTCTGTGAGGTGGTGAGTACAGGTGAGTAAGGAGAAGGCTTCACTACATGCCCATCTGTCTTTCTTTGCTTTATCTGGTAAGAGTTTTGTGATATTCTTCCTTGTTTCTACACATATACATGGTGCTCTTGCTCTCTGGCACTTGGGTGGGGGTGCACATCAGCTTCTGTTCTGACAATGACTCTGGAGATGTCTTCATGGGAATTAGGCGCCTATGCTCCATTTTCATCAGAAGCTTTTAGGGTTTTCCCTTGAAATGTCTCTCAAAACTTCTCACTTAAGAGGTCTTTTCCCTCTTAAACAGGCCCTGATGCCCTGAGGCAGCAGATGTCCAACAGCAGCTCCATCACTGAGTTCCTCCTCCTGGCATTTGCAGACACGCGGGAGCTGCAGCTCCTGCACTTCTGGCTCTTCCTGGGCATCTACCTGGCTGCCCTCCTGGGCAACGGCCTCATCATCACTGCCATAGCCTGCGACCACCGCCTCCACACCCCCATGTACTTCTTCCTCCTCAACCTCTCCCTCCTTGACCTGGGCTCCATCTCCACCACCGTCCCCAAATCTATGGCCAATTCCCTCTGGGATATGAGGGATATTTCTTACTGTGGATGTGCTACCCAGGTCTTTTGGTTTCTCTTCTTTGTTTCTTCAGAATATTATCTTCTTACTGTCATGGCCTATGACCGCTATGTAGCCATCTGCAAACCCCTGCACTATGTAACCCTCATGGACAGCCGAGCTTGCGTCAAAATGGCAGGAGCTGCCTGGGGTGGTGGTTTCCTCAATGCGGTGCTGCACACTGGAAGCACATTTTCAATTCCATTCTGCCAAGGCAATGCTGTGGATCAGTTCTTCTGTGAAATCCCCCAGCTCCTCAAGCTCTCCTGCTCAGACTCCTATGTCAGGAAAGCTGGGTTTACTGTGGTTAGTCTTTGTGTAGCTTGTGGGTGTTTTGTTTTCATTGTTCTGTCCTATGTGCAGATCTTCATGGCTGTGCTGAAGATCCCTTCTGCGCAGGGACGGCACAAAGCCTTTTGCACGTGCCTCCCTCACCTGGCCGTGGTCTCTCTGTTTGCCAGCTCTGCCATGTTTGCCTACCTGAAGCCCCACTCCATCTCATCTCCAGCTCTGAATCTGGTGGTGGCTGTTCTGTACGCGGTGGTGCCTCCAGCGGTGAACCCCCTCATCTACAGCATGAGGAACCAGGAGCTCAAAGATGCGCTACAGAGACTGATCCACTGTCTGCTGTTGCAGCAGGGATAAGCTGTCCTTTTCTCTTCACAGGCAATTCCCAGTTTGTCTCAGGCCAGGCTTGGTGATTTGCTTTTCTTCTCTGTTTGAACATTATCTTTGTAAACAAGTTTTTGGAATCACCACTCTTCTCCAGAGGAAAGAACATAATCTGTCTGAGCCAGAGGCCTTCTGTAAATGTGTCTAGCACTGTGTCAGAGCTGGGCTTCCTAATAGCATCTCTTTAATAAAATGGATCTCCTCAGTTCAGGGCCTGAAGCCTGGGCTCTTCTTACTCTGTGTCACTGGGAAGGGAGGCTGGAGAGTGGCACCAGTTGGTGAGGTGCCGCAGGACCAGGAGATTGTGCTGGGTTCCCACTGGGTAGTGGGACTGGTAAGGCACTCAGTGGGGCCAATGGTATGAAAAAGAGAGTGAGTGGCCTCCATTTCCTCATACCACTGGTGGCCTCCAGACTTGGGTCTGGTGGGGTAGAAAACACCCACTCTCTTCTACCCCAGGACCTCCTGTGCCCATCAGAGGGGTTCAGGCCTGGTGTCAGAACTACAGTTCTCATTTCTAGAAGGAAAACCTGGACTTTGCAACTGCAAATTAAGAAAAACCCTTCTTTGCCTGTGTGCAGCCAGTTCTGTAAGGCAGGCACACGGGAGTTTGATGAGAGAAATGGCAGGGTTGGGAGGGAAGGAGCAAGGTTGTTCCTACTGTCTCAGACCTCAAGGGAATGCATCTCCTGCCGGTCCCAAACTCCTTTGGAGGCACACTGGATCAATATCAATTGAAGAATGCTGCTATCAGCTCCCCTCTGAACTGAAAAGTAGTAAAATATACCCATGAAATTCAAAAATCTTTTTTTGTAAAGTGCTCTTTGTAATCTTCTTCTTCAGCAAGAAGTGCCTTCAAGGCCCCACGATGGAGAAATTCCCCAAACTCCCTGCAGGTACTGAACATGCTAAAGTGCCTGTACACTAATGCACACAGGGTGAGGAATCAACACGGTGAGTTAGAGATCTATAGGTAGTTGCAGGACTACAATCTTACTGGTATCGTGGAGACATGGTGGGATGGCTCCCACAACTGGAGTATTGCAACAGAGTGATATGAGCTTTTTCAGGACAGGATGGGAAGTCAAGGAGGGGGAGTTGCCCTTTATGTCAGAGAGCAGCTGAAGGGCCTGGCCATCTGCCTGGGGATGGATGAGAAGCCAACTGAGAGTTTATGGGTTAGGATTAAAAGGAGGACTAGCTGATCTCCAGACACCCTTTCTAACCCCAACTATTCTGTGATGGTGTAATGCCTGGTAGCATTTCTGAGAACTTTTCTGCCATTTCCCTGCACTGGCTGGACTCCTGGTGCCCATGGAGCAGAGCCTCCTTTTGTGGGTGACCTCTCTTACTGTGTAACTCTGAGGAAAGGGTGGACCAGGGATTACAAATGCCAGGAATTCCTCAATACACAGCAGTGTCCCCTACCCCAGATGCTGTGTCCATCCCCTTCCTCCTTGAGGATTTGAGTTGGAAGGGACGTCTGGAGGTCTCCAGTACCATGATATGCTTTGATCATGGAGAACTTCAGAGTTACATCTGGTTGTTTAGTGCTTTCTCCAGGTGAGTTTCGAAAATCTTTGGGCCCCTGAACTAGTGCTGACCCACTCTCATGATTATAGAAATATATCTCTATAATTTTCCTTTCCTTAACCTCATTTTAAATTTCCTTTCCTGCTTCCTGTCCTTGCACTCTTGTGGTGGGCTGACCCTTGCTGAACACCAGGTGCACACCAGAGCCACTCTATCACTTCCCCCCTCAGCTGGACAGGAGAGAGAAAATATAACAAAAGGCTCCTGAGATAAGGACAGGGAGATCACTCACCAATTATTGTCACAGGCAAAACAGACTCAACTAGGGGAAAAATTAATTTCATTTATTGCCAATCAAATCAGAGTAGGGAAATGAGAAAATAAAAGCTAAATCTTAAAAAACCCCACCTTTCCCCCACCCCTCCCTTCTTCCCGGCCTCAACTTCCCTCCAGATTTCTCTACCTCCTCCCTGCCAGCGGCACAGGGGGATAGGGAATGGGGTTACGGTCACTTCATCACAACTTGTCTCTGTCGCTCCTTCCTCCCCAGGGGGAGGACTCCTCACACTCTTCCCCTGCTCCAGCATCAGGTCCCTCCCACAGGGGACAGTTCTCCATGAACTTCTCCAATGTGGGTCCTTCCCACAGGTTGCAGTCCTTCATGAACTGCTCCAGCGTGGGTCCCCTGCAGAGTCACAAGTCCTGCCAGCTAGCCTGCTCCAGCGTGGGCTCCTCTTGCCACAGCTTCACAGGTTCTGCCAGGACCCTGCTCCAGCATGGGCTTCCCACAGGGTCACAACCTCCTTTGGGCATCCACCTGCTCTGGTGTGCAGAGCACACAGGCTGCAGGTGGATATCTGCTCCACTGTGGACCTCC